CAACAGTTAAGAGAAGCATGGTCAGAAGAAACAATCTTGCCAATGAACACTTTGCTTCCAATTTGGGGGAATTCTCCCTCAGTTGTGGATTCTATCCAGTGACTTAAGCTTCCTTTTGTGGGCCCTTGACATCTTAACACGTACAACACTCATCCCAGGACCATGGACACACCCCCAGAAAACTCTGGTCTCTCCCAACACCCTGGCCCTAAAGATATGGCTTGAATAACCAACTGTCCACCTCCCTCAGCCCGGTATCAATAGATAAGATAAAGACTAAAACTATGTAAATACTACATAGCAACTAAGTGCAAATTTCCTAATACACCAGGGACACTAGTTGTCAGAAGATTGTGAAATTTGGGGTATGGGAGGACTACTTCAATTCTTAAGTTGGATACTACTAAATGTCTGAAGAAATATTAACCAAGGAAGATTCCAGCTCCTTAAGCAGGACACCCAGGGCAGCTCACCCCGATTCTGAATGAGCACCCCTCTTTAAGCCTGCCTAACAAACCCATACCATTTACTCCTCCCCACTAGGTTTGCCACTAGTTTCGCCTACTACGGGCTGGTCATGGACCTGCAGGGCTTTGGGGTGAGCATCTACCTAATCCAGGTGATCTTTGGTGCAGTGGACCTGCCTGCCAAGCTTGTGTGCTTCCTTGTCATCAACAACCTGGGTCGCCGGCCTGCCCAGATGGCCTCACTGCTGCTGGCAGGCATCTGCATCCTGGTCAATGGCGTGGTACCGCAGGGTGAGCACCCATGAGCACCTTGGCCCTCCCTCATCCTGGGCTCCATCCCCAGACATGGTTCAACTTCTTAAAAGGGAGGGGAGGCCAATTCCTCCCAGCCCCCACTCCCAAGATCCCTCTGTCCCTGCTCCCTTCTCTATAGACCAATCCATTGTTCGAACCTCCCTTGCTGTGCTGGGGAAGGGCTGCCTGGCTGCCTCCTTCAACTGCATCTTCCTATATACCGGGGAGCTGTATCCCACAATGATTCGGTAAGTGGAGGCCTGGCAGGGCATTGGGGGAGATTGTTATCTTGGTGCAAGACATTCTCCTGTACACAGGTCAGACCCCAAAGCATAGTCTAGTATGCCCCAACCCAAAGGCCCCTTCTCAACACCCATCAGAGCAAAACATATAGAAGCACTTAATAAATCCTTCCTGGGTAACACAGGTGGGGCTACCCTCCAAGCTCTTATCTGTTCCTAGAAGAAAGTCGCCAAGGGAGCCACTAACAGGGGCAGGGTAGAAAGCCCAGATGACACACTTCAGAGGCAGTGAGTGAATCAAAGGCACCCACTTGACCTCCACCAAATCTAAATTCCATCTATAAACTAAGTCATATATCTGAAACCAAAGGCCACAAACATGAACGTCATTTCCTACCATGGGAACCATATTTTTAAATGGTGGTACATAGTATTAAAAAGTGCTTAAAAGCACAGATGTCAACTTCAGGACTAGGGTGTGCCTAACCCAAGCCATGGCATTTTCAATCGCTTCATGTAAAAGCTGGACAATGAATAAAGAAGACCGAAGAAGAATTGATGCCTTTGAATTATGATGTTGGTGAAGAATATTGAATATACCATGGACTGCTGGAATAACAATCAAGTCCGTCTGGAAAGAAATACAGCCAGAGTGCCCTTTGGAAGCAAGGATGGCGAGACTTCATCTCACGTACTTTGTACATGTTGTCAGGAGGGACCAGTCCCTGCAGAAGGACATCATGCTTGGTAAGGTGGAGGGTCAGCAAAAAAGAGGAAGACCTTCAATGAGATGGATTGATACAGTGGCTGCAACAATGGGCTCAAACATAGCAATGACTGTAAGAATGGCACAGGACAGGGTTGTGTTTCATTCTGTCGTGCACAGGGTCGCTATGAGTTGGAACCAACTTGACGGCACCTAACAACAACAACACATGAGTATGTCAGGAGTATAGATAAACATAGCACTGCTTTTTGAAGTGCCAAGATGGCGAGGGGAGTGTAATTTTGCATTAAGAAACAAAAATCACATGTCAGTTTTAAGGATGGGATGCAAAATTCACATGAGCTTTTTAGAGAAAACATTAAATGTCAAAGAAATGTCAAGCTTCCCTAGGCTACTTGGATACGAACCCTGAGGGGTCATGGTTACAGCCCTGTGCCCTTATGCGATTTCAGGGAAAGGATAATAGTAAAAAGCTCAACATGTGCCAGGCAGTTTAAACTTTTTATAAATAGTAACTCATTTAATCTTCATAACAAGCCTATGAGGTAGGTACTATTATTATTCCCATTTTACAAATGAGAAGACCAAGGCACAGAGAGGTGAAGTGACTTGCCCAAGGTCACACAGCTAGTGAGTGATGAAGCCAGGATTTGAACCCAAGCAGTTTGTCTCCTGAGCCAATGCTTTTAACTACTGCTCTCATAAAGCATGTTCTTAACACATAGATTCCAAGTTCCTTCCCCTGGAGATTCTAATCCAGTAGGTCTGTGTGGGGCTGGTGCAACTGTAACTCAAAAAACCCCAATATGAAAACCATTGGTCTGTCTCATTTGACAGTTAAGGAAACTGAGGCCCAGAAAGGAAAAGGAATTTGCCCAAGGTCACACAGTAAATTAAGGACAGAAGCAAAATTCAACCCCAATTTCCCAATTCCACGGCCAGGACCCTTCCCAACTTCCCTTTTTAAAAATTGCCCAAACAAAAGCCAAGTTAGTTTACCAATCAAATGGGAAACAGAGGGGGCACTTGGGGGTGCCCTGGGGGTGGGCCTGAGCTGCCCTGGTTCCAGGTGTGGCCTGTACCACAGCATTCAAGCAGAACTGTGGTCCTCACAGGCAGATGGGCATGGGGATGGGCAGCACTATGGCCCGAGTGGGCAGCATCGTGAGCCCGCTGGTGAGCATGACTGCCGAGCTCTACCCCTCCATACCTGTCTTCATCTACGGCGCCGTCCCTGTGGCTGCCAGCGCTGCCGTCACCCTCCTGCCAGAGACCCTGGGCCAGCCACTGCCTGACACGGTGCTGGACGTGGAGAACAGGTGGGCCGCACCCTCCCCACCCGAGATCAGCCCTCAGAGCCACAAGAAGCCCACAGTCTCTTGGTGTAGCCCCCTCTTGGACAGATAAGAATGCTGAGGGCCCGAGAGGAACAAGGACTTATCCCGGGTCACCCATTCAGACTGGGGTGGCGTTGAGAATCAAACCCAGGCCTCTTCTCCCAGGCCAGGGCTCTTGTCTCTCTGTTTCCCAAACTGGCTGAGTGTCTCCTACAATCTTTTCTGGGACTCCCAGCTCCGGGGAGCAGTAGATGTTTACGGCAGAGAGTGGGTGGCTGGGCAAGCTGAATGGAGAGTCTCTGGGAGCCCCCATTCCTGGCCTGCACGCCAGGCACACCCAGGGCACCACCCCTCTGCCCCCAGGAGGAGAGGGAAACTGAGGCGACAGCAGCAGGAGCAGCAGAAGCAGATGGTCCCGCTCCAAGCCTCTGCACAAGAGAAGAATGGACTCTGAGGACTGGGAAGGGGCCTTACAGGAACCTAAAGGGAGTGCAGGTCCTGCAGGCCCTGGGCATCCACACGAGGAGGGGAGAGGGAGGGCTGCAGCCCAAGCGCGGGGGTTGTGGTTCAGGGAAATACCTCCCCAAGGGTCCCCCTCCCAAATAGGCCCCAACAAGACCACATCATTAAAAAGTCTGACTCTGTGCAGCGTCTCCCTGTGTCACCTTTGTTCCCAATGCCATCACCATCCACATCAGCCAGCTTCCAGCCCAAAAGATCACACAGTCCAGTGCCTGCCCCGCCCCCTCCAGGAATTTACCATCCCGGACAACTGGAAAAGACTCTTCCCGCATCCCTTCTTCCCTCCTTCTTCCTCCCTCCTCCTCTAAGGTATTCAAATAAAAGCAAAAACCAACCCAGCTGCCATCGAGTCGATTCTGACTCACGGCAACCCTATGTATGTCAGAGTAGAACTGCTCTCCGTAGGGTTTTCAATGGCTATGACCTTTCGGAAGTACGTCTCCAGGCCTTTCTTCTGAGGTGTCTCTGGGTGCGTGTGAACCACTAACTTTTTGGGTAGTGACCTAGAGTTCTATAAATTTTACTTAAATATCTTATTATGCCCCTCCCTCTCCCTGTTAGACCAGAAATTGACAAGAGACAAAAATGAAAGCAGACAATCAGAGGCTTTGTTTGAAGCTCCTCCCCCTCTGTAAGAGCAGATGGGAGCCTCTCACAGCAAAGGAGGAGAAAAAGGACAACAGCTGTGACATCAGGATGCTGGCCTCTGCTCTGCTGGATCCCAGCAGGGTGTAGACTCGGAGGGGTTTGCCACTTCTGGCTCTGCAGCTGTTTTTAGTTGCCATCTAGTGGATTCCAACTCATGGCGACTCCACATGTACAGAGTGGAACTGCTCCATAGGGTTTTCAAGGCTGTGACCTTTCAGAAGCAGATCACCAGATCTGTCTTCTGAGGCATGTCTGGGTGGGTTTGAACTGCCAGCCGTTTGGCTAATAGTTGAGCGCTTAACAGTTCGGCCACCCAGGGACTACAGTCTGATAGCTTATCTAGTCCTCCCTGCTGCTCTTCTTGAGCGTTCTTTGTTGCTTTACCTCCTGTGGTTTCTGGACTGATGGAGGGAAGAAAGGAAGGTAGAACACAGCCAGAGAGAGCCAGCACAGAGTGCTAATTATGTGCCCGGCACTGTCCTAAGCACTTCGCGTATGTTATCATTAGCTGCCATGGAGTCTGCCCAACTCATGGCGACCCCATACACAATAGGACCAGATTGTTGTGATCCATAGGGTTTCATTGGCTGATTTTTGGAAGTAGACCACCAGGCCTTTCTTCCTAGTCTGCCTTAGTCTGGAAGCTCTGTTGAAACCTGTTCAGCATCACAGCAACACGCAAGCCTCCAGTGAAGATGAGCGGTGCCTGCAATGAGGTGCATTGGCCAGGAACCGAACTAGGATCTCCAGCACGGAAGGTGAGAATTCTACCACTAAACCACCAATGCTCATTTAATTCTCCCAGTAACCCTATGGAGGTAAGTAATACTACTATTCTCATTTTACAGATAAGGAAATCAAGGTGCAGACAGGTCAAGTAACTTTTCCAAGTTCACACAGCTGGTAAACTGTGGAGCCAGGAATGGAATCCAGATAGTCTGGCTCCAGAATGTGTGTGCTTGACCCCTCTACTACCCCAGAGCTGTGAGGCACTGGGACTTTGGCCTTTTCCACTCCCAGGGCCCAGCTTCTTCTTGTCCTCCTCTCTCTAGGCTAAAAAGAAAGGGGGAAGAGGGAGGAGGAAGGGGACCGTGGGAGGAACCCTATGAAAGGAGGAATGGAAGGCAGTTTAGGTGTCAGGAAAGGACCAGATGCCCAGTCACCTATGCTGGCGTGGAGCTCACTTCAGGGAGCCTGAGATGGCATGGGACCAGACAGCCCTATTACCACCCATAGCTGGCAGGAGTGAGGGGTCCACTGTCGCCTGTGGTAAATGTGCTTGCTCAGCCAGGCTTGTCTGCCCATTGCCCTTTCCTCTGCAAGTGACCCTGCCCCTCAGACCTTCATCCCCCAGGAAAAGTTTACATCCCTCAAGCTGCCCACATTGCCTTCCAGGTGAGACCCTAGGGCTTGGGCTGAGTCAGGGCAACCAGATGGGGAAGGTGGCCTGAAGCCCCCCTTAAAAAGCCACAAGACCCTGGGATAGCTCACAGCAGCTCAGAGAGTAGGTCCCTAACTCCCAGGCCAAATTTGGGCAGAGCTGAAATCACCATGCCCACCCCACCTCCTGGAACATCTAGAGCCCCGGTATCCCCCAATGATGCTGACCCTCCCCCATGCACCCCACTAGATGCTTAAGAGCCACCAGTCCTAGCCCTGTCTCCCTGCTGCAATTTCTCAGACAGCACTGCCCTCAGGACTGACATCAGGCACCTGGGATGGCATCTTCACCAGCCTGCAGCAGGGAGACAGGGCTAGGACTAGGAGGTGGAGCAGGTGGATCTAGTTCTGCTTGTGCAGATCTGGGGGCCTTGGGGCCGGTCAATTTCCCTCCCCCTGCCTCAGAGCCCTCCAACTCTGGCACGCTCTGACTCCTCCTGGGGTGTTTCTGCGGGCTCTTCAGAGTCTTTCCCCAAGTCAGTCTGGCTCAGTGTCCTAGGGCCTGGCATGAAAAGGGAACCTCAGCTTGGGTTTCATGCACACATCAGGCTAGGCCTTCCCTACTGCCTTTAGTACTTTCCCTTCTTCCTCAAGGAGGACTCATCAGTTCTGGCCCAGTGGGGAGAGCTGAACTTCCCAACACTGGGTAGTTTCCTCTACCCGATCGCTCTTCCCCTGCCCTTTAGACCCAGATGAGCAATTCACTGGCCTGCTGGGTCTTAATAATTAAATATCTCACTCTCAAGTCACGGTTTAACTTGAGAGAAGTTATAAGAACTCCTACTGACAATCAGGAGGCCTAGGGGTACAGCAGACCCAGGAACTGATGCGCTGAGGAGACAAAGGCAGCCCTTGTCCCCCCACTGCACCAAAAGATGGGAAGCAGTTCATACGAGCGGAGGCCTCAGCCCCAGCTGCTCTTGCAAAGCCTGACCCCATGACCTTCAATGACCTCCTGCAGCAGGTGGAGGGTGTGGGCCGCTTCCAGCGGATCCAGGTCACTCTGGCCACTCTCCCCATACTCCTGTTACTTTTGCACACTACTCTGCAGAATTTCACCGCAGCCACCCCCACCTACCACTGCTGCCCACCTGCCAACGCCAACCTCATCAAGGAACGGGGGCTGGAGGCCTGGCTGCCCCGGGACAGGCAGGGGCAGCCTGAGTCCTGCCTCCACTTCACCTCCCCACAGTGGGGACCACCCTCTGCCAATGGCACAGAGGCCAACGTCACAGGGGCCACAGAGCCCTGCATCGATGGCTGGATCTATGATAACAGCACCTTCCCTTCCACCATCACGACTGAGGTGAGGACCTGGGCTCCCTGCCCCCTTCCCCCCCTACGTCTCCGTCTTATTATCCCCCTACACAGACACAGACTGTCTGAATGTGGGAAGACCTTAGAGCTATGAGGAGCTTTGCCCAGATAAGAGAAAGATGGCTGGAGTTAGGGGCCTTCCTGGGAGAAAAGACATGGAAGTCCTTGCAGAAAGCTGCTGTCTGTCCCCTCCTCCCCAGCACCCACTAGAGAGGGGGAGACACTGCCACCAGAGTTAATGTCCTTCACGGATTCCTCAGGAAGTCAAAGGAGCCTGGGGACTGGAGAATTCCACGGGGGTGTCTGAGGGGTATCAGAGGCGGGAAAAAGGAGGCAGGAGGCATGGGGGGGAAACGGGAGGGATTCCTGAGGGGGGGAAATGGGAGGGATCCCTGAACAGGAGGAGGGGGAGTGGGAGAGATTCCCTGAGGGGGTGGGAGGTGAGGGGTGGAGGGGAGTGAAGGGTGGGGGAGAGTGAGGGGTGGGCGGGATGAGGAGGTTGGGGGTTGGGAGGGATTCCTGAGCAGGAAGTTCTGGGCTCAGAGTCCTAGAGGCAGAAGCAGTTTCTTGGCTTCATCTAGTAATTGCTCTCAGCAGCTGGGGCTGGGAGATGGACAGCAGCCAAGGAACTAAGATGGGAAAGAGAACAGGGCTATGGGGGTCCTTTCATCTCTAGTGACTTAACGCCCCCACCCCCAAATGCACACACACCCAGATGTAGAGCCATCCTGGCCTGCTGAGTGGTTCATCAGGCCTCAGTCTGCACCTAATAGCTATCACATTGATCATGCTCAACAGCTGTTCTAGTCAATGGTTGCAAGGAAGAGAAGCCCTCTAAACTGGCTCGTGGGAAAAGGAGGCATGACTTCAAGGATATAAATATCTCAGGAAATCCAGAGACAGAAAATAAAGTGTGCTCAGGCCTCATGTAAACTGGAACCAGGGACTGGAACACCAGAGGTATCCATCCGTGTATACCTACTCTGTTCACCTCTCTCCTTCTCAACCTGCTCCTTCTGTGTGCTCATCTTACAAGCCCAGCGCCAACCTGAACTTTCCTCTGTATTGTAATTCAAATTCTTAGAAAGCTCTGATTGGCTGAGCTCAACACATTGATGAGCCTCCCTCCTCCCACTTGGCTCAGAAGCCAACACCTCATCTAATCAGCTGGTCAAGGGGGGAGTACGGTGGAATTATGTGCCTATTAGAGGATGCCCTGAGAAGAAAGAGGTCATGGTCAGGCATAGCCCCAAAATTGCCTAATGCAGCATGCGTCTGAAACTGATGAAAGCTAAGCCGTACTCCTACTAGACAGAAGAAGAAGGTAACTCAGTATCCTGGCCCTCCTTCCTCTGATGCACATAGACAACTCCACCTACTGCTAACCCTTCTGTGCATAGTTCTGTGCATAGTGGATTTCCTTCATTAGTCTCCAGCCTTAACCCAAGCTCTGAGCTATCCTTGCCCACCCATCTGAACTTGTTATATGTGATCATATATTCTGCTTCCCTGTTCTGCTTCCCCATGTCCCTTCTTTTCCCCACTCCGTGCCTTTCAAGGTCAACAAGACTCCAGGAACTATCAGCCTACCTATTGCTCTTCTATTCAAAACAGCAGGCAGTTTGATCCAAAAGCTCAGATTTCTTGCCATCCAGAGCAAAGTATCTGGGTGAGAGGGCACCTCGGATTTCCTTCTAAATGGAAACTTTGTAGTAATCTCACCGTATTTGGTTTTAATGCCTACAAGGCCAGATGCACACAGTTAACCCATTCCCTAAGATAGTTACAGAAAAGTTGGGATGGAGATGCCAGTATTAATCTAATCCCTTTCCAATAGGCCTTGTAGATGGGACTATAATCCACCTGCCACACGCAATGATAGGGCACCAAAAGACCTATTTTAAAAGCACAGCCAACATACCTCTTCTCTGGGCCAATAATGTCAAAGCCCATGGCTGCGTCAGGAGAGCATCTCATTAGAATAATGGCAGCTTACATGTATAAACTAATGTGAAGCTGGACCTTCTGGTTTGTGAAGCAAATAAAATGGCTTACAAAGCAATGGGGGCCTCCTTAAGCAAGAAAGTTAATCACAGTGAAGACACTCCACATGGCTGTATCTGGTAAGCACAGCAGCATAACCTGAAAAAGACCAAATCCCTTCCCTCCCCTTGGGAGGAATTCACAAATGGCCTAGTATCCCAAAGGGATACTTCAGTACTCTGAATGCAAAAGAGCGAAATAAATACAAAAAAAGAAAAAAAAGATGCTGGCTGTGGGTTACAATAAAAACTCTGCCTGAGATCCTCTTATTATTTCCTTGTGGATTAAAATGTCTTGGGCAATAACTAGCAGCTCCTGTCTGAACCTATATTAGTCAGGACCCTTGTCTGCAAGAGACCATAATTCAAATCAAGCTTATGTAAGCTAAAATGTGGGTATAAAGGCTCCCATAACTGAACTACAAGACTGGGAGAGATGAAGCTGGCTCTAAGGATGATGAGAACCAGAGCCGTGGGTGTCATCATGAACCTTGCTGGCTCTCTTCTCTGCTTTTCTTTGCATGTTGAACACATCTACTGTGAACAAGAATCCTTCACAAGGCGGCTATGTGTCATTCTGGGATTACTCCTAATAACTTCATGGCCAGGGAGAAAAAGGTTTCTGTCTCCCAGCTCCAACTTTGAAGCTTTCTAGGGAAGACTGATTGGCTGGTGGAGTCATGTGCTTGCCCCTTAGTCCAATGACCATAGGGTAGGCGGGCGTGAGTTAACATGAATGACCCAACCTGAGTCACTTGTCCACTCCTGTACTGCAGACCAATAATAGCCGCCATTTCATCTCTCTACTCCCTGGCCCCGCTGCCATTTGTTTTCTCTTTTAGTCCTTTTCTTTCCTTTGAGGCCAGACTCATAACATCCATCATTTATTATATCCTTTATCAAGTTAGCAGCACAAGACCGTCCTAGGTAGCAATTCTCTTAGTCTCCCTCAGATCCACCACTGTCTATTCCTAGACTTTGCTTCCTGTTAGTGATAAAGAAACCCTGGTGGTACGAAGGTTAAGTGCTCAGCTGCTAACCAAAAGGTTAGCAGTTCGAACCCACCCAGAGGCTCCATGGGAGAAAGACCCGATGATCTGCTTCCGTAAAGTTTGCAGTCAAGTACAACAAAACACCTCATGGGATCTTGTTCCTTGGTTTGGAGCTTTAGGGTCGTGGTTTCATGTGACATCCCAGTTAATTGGCCTAATAAGTGTTTAGTGCTTCTGTTTACCTCCTAGTTCCTTGTGTAGTGCCTGGGGGCTTAAAAGCTTACAAGCAACCATCCAAGGCATGATAATTGGTCTCTGTTCACCTGGAGCAACAGAGGAAGATGGAGAGTCAGGAACAGAAGAAGAAAATGGAATGTGTAGGTAATTGTCTCCATGAACAACTGCGTCCTTTGCCATGAGACCAGAAGAACTGGAGGGTGCCCGGCTACCATTACCGAACATTTTGATCAAAGTTTCTATAGAAGAATCCTAATCACAAGGGGGGAAAAATGCAGAAAAGAATTTCAAATTCTTTTGGACTCCAGACTTTCTGGAGCCATAGAGACTGGATGAACCCTTGAAACTACTGCCCTGAGATAACCTTTAAACCTTAAAACAAAAATATGCCCTGAAGTCTTTTTAAAACCAAACAATAATTTAGCTTAACTGGTAAAAAAAATGCCTGCCTTGAACATTGTGCTCTTTTAGGATCCGTCTACATGAGATCAAATTGACAACAGCAATTTGAAAGATTAGATACGAAACTTAGAGAGCAGTGAGTTTATGTTAATGGGGGAGGAACAACTCAGAAAAGGAGGGTGAGAATAGTTGCACAGCTTGAAGAATGTAATCAATGTCACTGAATTGTACATGTAGAAATTGTTGAATTGGTGTATTTCTGCTGTGTATATTCTCAACAACATCAGAAAAAATAAATTATACTTAAAAATTATTACAGCCAAGAAAACCCCATGAGGCAGTTCTATTCTATTGCATGAGGTCGCTATGAGTAGGAATCAACTCAGTGGCAACAACAACAAGGATAAAATAACTATCACAGCAGCACGCAAAAATATTTCCTCCTCAGGGGTTTCAGGTGCACATGAAGAAAACACAAATGGTGAAAGCTAATAATAACCCTAAGGTGATACCAGCTCCAGGCAACCATTGCTTTTGCAGATAACAAGCACCTTAGAACAGATCAGAGGCAGAGAGATTCTTTCTGACTGTTTGGTATCCACTGATCAATTTCTGATCTGGCTCCAGTTTCATCACTAGACTACATACAGATTTGGTTCTCTTTGCATTCCTTTGATTTCTTGCATCTTTCCTACATCCTCTTGCTTCTTATTCTTTCATTCCTCAGTTCCTGTCCATAACATCCTTGATCCACTTACCACAGTGTGTCCATGTACATTCTTCTCCTTTCTCCTCCTTCTCTTCCTTTCTCTCTCTTTTTCTCAACTCCACTTCTACCCCAACTTTAGATGTCCTTACAAATCTTTTTTCTCTGAGTCACATTCCCAAATTCATAATAAAAACAATCTGATCAGCTTAGTCCAGCCCCAAGGTCAGGTGTCTTCTACAGAGCCAGTTGGTTGTAACCGGGGAGGGACAGGTTCATGGGGTTAAAAAAAAGACTACAGGAACCCTATCCTGGAGGGTGAGGGGTTAGTGCTCAGAGAAGGGAGAGTAGACTGGGACACCCAAAAGGTATCTTTTACGTAGTTTAAAATAACTTGAATAATTCTTGCCAGGAGAAGGTGATGTAGAAGAGTGAGTAGCTGGGGGAAGGGAGATGCTCCTCATGTGCTGGTCCCAATCCAGAACTCAGCCTTACCAGAAAAGAGGGAGTGGGGCTTCTCTGGGGCTACACTTAGCTCCTCTTAACCCCATTTCTTCCTTCCTCACAGTGGGACCTGGTGTGCACACACAAGACTTTGCCCCAGCTGAGTCAGTCCTTCTTCATGGCAGGGGTGCTGGTCAGAAGCTTGGTTTTTGGGACCTTGGCAGACAGGTCAGTGATGAACAAGGTTGGATCAAGGAACAAAGGCATGAGCACTCTAGGCCGGACATGGCGGGGAGGCTGGAATCCCTGAGAGTCCAGGGAGAGACACAAGACTGATCCATCTAAGCCTAACCATGTCTGGAAAGTCTGTAAGAATCACTCAACGGTCCGTCAGCACCTTCCTTGCCTCTTCTCATTTCAGTTAATCTTCACAATTACCTTGTGAGGCCAGCAGGAGTGGTACTATTATGTGCATTTCACTGATGAGGAAACTGAGGTTCAAGGATGCTAAATAACTTGTCCAAACTGTCTAGAAGGAACCCAAGAAAGCTATCAGTTGTTAATGCTGAAGAGCAAAATTGGAAAGAGGGAGATAATTTTTACTTTTCACTCTTCATTACTATAATGTTTGACTTTTTTATAATAATTCATTACTTTTATAATTTACACAGATTACTTTTACAATTTAAAAAAGTAAATATTGAATGTCTCCTTTTTTAAAAAAGTACAGTCACACAGCCAACAAGTGGCAAAAGCAGGGCTGGAATCTACGTTTTCTGACTTCCTGAAGGAGTCTTTTTCCACCACTTCTGCTTTGTATGTGACATGTGGGTGTCATAGAAACAAACACAGACTTAAGAATCAGTAAGAACTAGAAAAAGTCGCAGATATGCTTTTTACTGTATGTCTATGGACAAATCACACAACCTCTCTTGGGCTTTGTTTTTCTGTCTAAAAAATAGGGATGATGATCGTAACCCCATCGGGTTGTGATGAGGGCTAAATTAAAGAATGAGAGCATTGGGTCTAGCAACAGTACCCATAACTCAGTGTTTTTTGCCCTAACCTTGGCCTTCTTCCAGGTCAAATCATGGGGTGAGGAGCAGGGGACAATTTTCCACAGAATAAAATTTTAAGTATTAGAAATGTGATAGAAGGTCAAACATACACAAAATCAGCTTTAGCCTTTGTGAAGTATAAACCACAGCCATATCTGTCCTGTAAAAGCATAACCTTTGCAAACGTTTCCCCAAAAGAGAAATTAAAAATCACAACAAAAGACTGTCTCCTGAGAGAGGTTTGACAGGTGTCATCATCAACCAATAGCAGAAGAATCAATCTCAACCCAGGGCAGCAGTTTCCAAAACTCGGGAGGCTGTTAAAAATCAGTTTTCCAGCTTACCTTCCAGATAGCAAGCCTTGAGTGGCACCCAGGCATGAGATGTCTTCAAAGTGCCCCTGTGATTCTAATGACAGGGTTTGGGCCCCTCTAGTCGGGTGTGAAGAGCCTCTGAGTGGTGCAAATGGTTAACGCACTTGGCTGCTAACTAAAAGGTTAGAAGTGTGAGTTCACCCAGAAGTGCCTCAGAATAAAGGCCTGGCAATCTACTTCCCAAAAAAAATAAACCATTGAAAACCGTATGGCGCACAGTTCTACTCTGACACACATGGGGTCGCTATGAGTTGGAATCGACTCGACAGCAAATGGTTTACCTAGGTGTCCTAGGATCTGTCAGGACCCCGGACAGCGGCAACTGAACAAGCCTCCAAAGGCTCAGAACCCCCAGATCCCAGCCCTCACCCTATTATTACCCACTTACCATCTCAGTACCTACCTCAAGGTCACATGCAGCCTCACAAGCATTTGTTAGATTGCCCAGGGCACCAGGGACCCTACAGCCAGGAACCAGGGCAGGGAGGCAGCAATGTGTTCTCTGGACTCAGGTTTCCCCTCCATCCACAGGCTGGGCCACTGGAGAATGTTGATCTGGGTCTACCTGCAGTTAGTGGTGTCAGGTTCCTGTGCTGCCTTCACACCCGACTTCCCAGCCTACTGTGCTTGCCGCTTCCTCTCGGGCATGACTGTGAATAGCATCAGCTGCAACACCATAACGCTGAGTGAGGAGGACCCTGGGAGGGTCAGGTTTATAGAGACTCCTGAATCACAGGGGTTCAGTGGACTCAGGGGCCTGACAAATTCAGACCTCAGTTCCTTCCCTGAGTATGAAGCTGAGTCCACTTGTCCCAGCATACCCACCTGTCAAGTCTTCTCCTGGAGTGGGCAGTGCCCAGGGCAAAAGGAATTTAAAATCACAGCATTTTTGGTGGTTCTGGCTATTTTGGGGCTAGAATTCATTTAGGGATTTAGGGATCACTGAGAAGAGAACAGACTTGATAGAGACTGGAGTGGGGTTGCTTGGACAGGTCAATCAAACTGTGAGCCTTTGATTCAACATTCCTTTATTCAACAAGTATTTACTTTGTGTCAGACCCTGCACTGGGAATACAGAAGTGAACAAGAGGGACACTACCATGATTTCACAGAGTTAGCAATCTACTAGGGATGGCTGCCAAGTAGTTACAGTTTGGTGTGCTAGAGTTTGGAATGGGGGCTATCCTGGGTGATGTGGGAGCTAAGAAATAGGGTGCTTAGTCATGACTTGGGGGCCAAAAAAGAACCCCCAGATTAAGTTACATCAAGCTCAGAACCAAAAGACAATGAGAGGCAGGAAAAGAGATGGATAAGGTGCTGGAGCAGAGTTCTAGACAGTAGAATCTACAAGGCCCAGAGGCCAGAAAATGTAAACTACTGGAGAAAATGAAAGTGATGCAGAATGGCCTGAGTCTCATTCATCTCTATCCCACTGGTTAAGCAAAGGCATGGCACACAGTTGCCAACCCTAAATGTCTGTTGAATTAAAGTGAGTTGTAGAAAGTTCAGAGAGGTGGCTGTAAGCGGGTCAAAAGAGGTTTAGGGGGAAGCCAGGAAAGATGAATGTTGGAGCTGCGAACACTGAATAAGAGCATGTCTGGGAATTCAGAGCCTTCCAGCCCATTTCTTGCTCCACTGAAGCGACACATACACACACACACACACACACACACATACACACACACTAAACCTAGCCTGTGATTAAACCATCCTTGTCTTACCCTCTGAGGAGCCTAGAGTGAAAGAGAAGGACTGAGCTTGAGAAAGAAGCTCCTCTGCTCCAATATGAGGTTCCTCATCCACCGGCAAGTGGCTACTGCTCCCTACGTACATACAAACCACACAAGTCCTAACTTCCACCTGAGCTCTTTTCCTCTCCCCAGATCTGGAGTGGTTGCCCATCCATGCTTGACCAGGTCTGGGCCTCCTAATTGGATTTGTCACCAGCCTGGGCCAGTTCCTCCTGGCTGGTATGGCTTATGCCATACCCCAGTGGCACCTCCTGCAGCTGCTGTTCTCTGTGCCTTTCTTTGTCTTCTTCATCTACTCCAGCTGTGTGGGACCTGAGGGTGGGTAGAGGGTTCACAATAAGTGACAGACAGGCATAGCTTCTCCTAGAGAACCTCCTACCTCCCACCAGTAGCAAAGCAGATCAAAGCAGAAAGAACCAATGTCCAATTTGATAGGCGAGGGAGACATGACCCAGAGAGGGGTAGGACTGTTCCAGATCTCCTGAGAAAGTATTGGCCATCCTGGGAGTAGAACCCAGAACTCCTAACTCCCAGCCAAGAATTCTGTCCACTCCTCCAAGATAGCTTCCTGCACTGGTCAGTACTCTTCTCACAAGTCTCTCTCTGTTAACCTAGGCTGAGTCCTGCCCACCCCCCACATACCCCCAACCCACAGGTTCTTCACTGAGTCTGCCGTCTGGTACGCTTGCTCTGGGAGACTGGACCTCACCCTGAAGGCCTTGAAGAGAGTGGCCCAGATCAACGGGAAGCAGGAAGAAGGGGCCAAGCTGAGTATGGAAGTGAGACCCCCAAGACCTCCTGTGACCCTCTACCAGGCTCTGTCTGCCCCACCCTCACCCCATAACCCAGGACATCTGATGCTTCCCAAAACAGGGAATGCAGGGAGGGGCCCACAGGGGAACCCAGACCCTGAGCCCTGCCCATCCCAGCAGGTGCTCCAAGCCAACCTGCAGAAGGACCTGGCCATGAACCAAGCCCAGCCCTCAATGTCGCAGTTGCTGCGCTGCCCTGCCATTCGCCACCTCTCTCTCTGCCTCTTCTCACTGTGGTAACTCCATCCAGTTCAAGCAGGAGATCAAGAAACTGATAGACACATAAGCAGACTGAGAAAACAGGACAGGCTGGGAGGGTGAGAGGATGAGGAAGGTCAAAACTCCTGCCATTAAATTAATTCTTCCTTCTTAGAAAACAGCATTACTTGAACATTCCTAGGGGTAGGAGTTACCCTACAAGCCAACTAGCTAATCAAAGCTTGCACCTATCAAAAGTAGTTCTCTTTAAACAAAAAATGAAAAGGAAGGGGGAGTCTATTGCTAAGTAAAAAATATTTTCTCCTAGGTAATTTAAAAATGTAGTCTAATATCCAATAAATAATACTCTGTCTTTCAGAATAAAGGGAGATTTTCTTATCTGCAATTGAAAGGTTTAAAAATAAACCCACTCGCAGGGGTGTGAACAGATACAGAGTAGTTTTCCAGCTTAAATTGCTATATAGATGTGGCATGGCTATACCCAGAGTGTATCATCTCTTCCCCTGCCCAGGTCCACAGCCCTCTTCAGCTTCTATGGTGTGGTCATGAGTTTGCAAACTTTAGGAATGAATATATCTACCTGATCCAGATACTCTTCACAGCTGTGAACGTGCCATTGTATTTCCTGACCTTTCTGTCCACCAAATCACTGGGCCGCAGGCTTACCCAAATGGGCTCAATGCTGCTGTCAGGAATCTGCATTCTGGCCTGTGCAACAGTACCCCTGGGGGAGCACATGCCCCATCCTTGCTCCTGTTCTTGTTCTTGTCTAGACCCACCTCCATCAGTGGGCCAACCCAGCTACGCAGAAGAGTGGAAAAGGCCTAAGGCCCCTCTAAACCTTTCTCAGCATCCTCCCATCACCTTTGTTCCCTTCCAGATCACTTATTCCTCTGCATTGCAATGGCCGTGTTAGGAAAAGGCTGCATTTCTGTCTCCTTGAACTGCATCATTATATACACAGAGGAGCTGTACCCCACAGTAATGCGGTGAGTGAGATTTGGGGGAGGAGTCCTGAAACAAAACAATCAGACCCTAGAGCAGCCAGAAGACTTCCAGCAAAAAAGGGCTCAAAGGTCAATCAATTTTTTTTAAGACAAGAAAGAAGAACAAAAACATACAGAAAGCAGGACAAATAAAAAACAAAAACGTAGGATAAATATATTCAAATATATCAGTGATCACAACAAATGTAAATGCATTAAATTTACCAGTTAAAAGACAAAGATATTCCAAGTGGATTTTTATTTTTATTTCATTTTTTTGCAGTTTACAAGACTCATTTAAAATGTTAGTACATGAAAATGTTGGCTGTATAGAGATGGGAGAAGATATACTGGGAAAATATTAACCAGAAGAAAGGTAAGTAGATATATTAATATGAGTCAAAATAGATTTAAGACATAAAAGTTTAATGATTAAGAACATAGCTCTGAAGCCAAAATGCCTAGTCCAAATGCTCAGTTATCTTACCTGTAAAACAAGGATAATTATAATAATAGTAGCCAAAATAAATTAAACAGAAAACAAAGATATAGCATAGAGGCTCAACAAAACAAAAAATTGGTCTTCGAAAATATCCATAAAATATCCCTGATTAAAACAATCAAGACAAAGGATATAAAATACAAGCAAATAATATTAGGAATAAAAAAGGAACAGAATTACAGATCTAGAGTGATTGAAAAGATACAAGAAATCTTTGAACATGTTTATGGTGATAAATTTAAATTGTTAGATGAAATTGACAAATCCCTAAAGAAAGATAATATAGGAAAACTAGTTCGAGAAGAAATTCAAAGTTTGATTAGTAAACTTTACAATTTAGCCAAAAAGAAAACACCAGGCCCAGATAATATTACAAGTGAGTTCTACAATACTTTTAAGGAATAAATCTTCCAGTCTTATACAAACTTTTCCATTAATGGGGAACTAGGCCAACCCTCCCACTGAAAATGACAAAAGTATACATGTAAAGTATATATAAATGTGTGGTGCTTAAAAGCACCAAAAAGCTAGAAAGACAGTAAGGAAAAATCAGGCCAATAATCTTAGGGAAAATGGGAACCTAGCAAGGGATGGAGCCCCTGGTGGCTCAGTGGTTAAGAGCTATGGCTGCTAACCAAAAGATTGGCAGTTCAAATCCACCAGCCACTCCTTGGAAACCCTATGAGGTGGTTCTACTTGGTCATATAGGGTCATAGGGTCACTATGAGTTGGAATCAACTCAATGGCAACGGGTTTGGTTTTTCTGGTAAGAGAAGTAAACAGAGAACCTGAGCACCAAAGCAAAACCAAAACCACCCATTGTCATCGAGTTGATTCTAACTCTTAGTGACCCTAAAGGACAGACTAGAACTGCCCACAGGGTTTCCAAGGAGCGGCTGGTAGATTTGAACTGCCTGTCTTTTGGTTAGCAGCCAAGCTCTTAACCACTGCACCACCAGGGCAAACACTATACTTAATGGGAAATTTTAGATGTATTCTCTTCAAAATTAGAATCAACTTTTAACATGGTACTGTTCTGGCAACACTAGTGGGGAAGAAAAATAAATAAGAAATGTAAGAATTAAAGGGAAAGAGTCTTTTAAAAAAGGAAAGATTTTAAAACGTCATTATTTAAAGAGAATATGATCATCTACCTAGATAAACCAACAAAAGTGATAAATAATTAAACTAACAAGAGAGTTAAACAAGAATGCTGGATACAAAATGAAATTACCACTTCATCAATAGCAATTAACCAACTAAAAAATATAGTTTTAAAAATTAAGATACCGTTTAGAAAAGCATCAAAAGCTGTATTTTATTAGGGAATTAACAAAGGACACTGAAGAGTGACATGGAGAAATTTTTTAAAACTCAGATCATAAATATTATCTAAGTGTTATCTAAGTAAATGGTCTTTGATCTTTATCAGCAAGTGCTTCAGATGACTTGATGGCAACTGGTAATAAAGATAAAAGGAAATAAAAAATCTAGCGGAGTGGGGGGTTGGGGAGGAAGGCCTTGCAAGACAAATGATAACAGAGGGTCATATACTAAGGAGTATGATTAACTCAACCCTCTGCAGGTGAAAAAAAAAAAGAAAAGAGAGATGGGAGGCTACTTTAGATGACTGGGGTAATCAGGTATGGCTCTTGGTCAAGATCAAAGGTGAACAGCAAGTCTGAAGGCTTTAGGGTGGAAATAAAGGGACAGGGCACAAGATAAGAACTGATATAGGCAGGGACCAAATCAGGTAGGGATTTATATGGAAGTAGGATTATATTCTAGTACAATGGGGCATCTCTGGATGTTTTTAAGCAGGGAGTGAAACAATATGAGTTATGATTTTAAAAGACTAGTTTGGCTTCTGCATGAAGAGTAGACTGGGGAGAGGGAGCCAAGGCCAAGAGTAGACACAGGAAGACCAGTCAGGAGGCTACTGCAGCCCCCTAGGCAGGATATGAGAGTGGCTTGGAGTTAAGTGGTGGGCAATGGTTGTGGAGACAGAAGGGAACTGACTCTGAATGTGTTTTGGAGGAAGAGCCATCCAGATTTATGTTTTGAATATGGGAAAACAAGGGAACAGGAGGTATCAAAGATAATGCCTAGATACTTGGCTTGAGCAAGTGGATGATTAGAAGTGCCATTTACTGAGATGGGGAAGTCGAGGGGAGCAACAGGCTCAGAGGTAGAAATGAAGAGTTCCTTGACCATATAAAATTGGGGGGCCCTTTTAGACATCCAAATAAAGATGTAAAGTAGGAAGTTAGATGTATAGTCTGGAGCTCAGGAGACAGGTGAGTTGATGACTTGTTCACAGTCACACAGCAGGTTCAAATTGGGACTGGAATGCAAATCTCCTGGTTCTCGAGCCATTTGCTTCCCAGCTCTCCTTTTAGCCAAGTTAAGTACAAGCACTTGACCCTATGGCAAGTGTGAAAAGAGGAGGCAAAGGGTGGCAGGCAGGCTAAGGCACCTGCAGGACCCACTGACCTCACCAAGGTGCTCTTCCTCCCCAGAGGCAGAGGGGTCTGAGCATCATGACAACCTTGGCCAACATAGGAGGCACCCTGAGTCCACTGGTGGCCATGACAGCTGAGCTCTACCCCTCCCTTCCTCTGTTTATCTACAGCGCACTGCCTTTGGCTACCAGCACCATCACTCTCCTCCTGCCAGAGACCCTGGGCCAGCCACTGCCCAACACATTGCAGGACCTGGAGAACAGGTAGGTTGCACCCTCTCCATCCTCCCTGTCCTCAGAGCCATCAGAAGCTCACAACCACTTGGTCCAGCCCCTTGGCTATTAATGCCAGATCCAGGGAAAAGCAAGAACTTACCTAAAGTCATTCAGCCAGACTCCAGTGGAGCCAAGGCTAGAATCCAGGCCTCCTGCCTCCTGTACCAGGGCTCTGTTCCCACAAATGGGCTGAGTTCCCTGGAATCCTCCATGAGACTCCTAATTCTTAGAAACAGTGAGTGGTTTGGCCAGAAGGCAAGGCAAGTGAGCAAAAACATCTAAAAAGAAATCAAGTAAGTGGGCAGTGCCCGGAGACCCACTCAACTCTGCTCCTGAGCCCTGCTTCTCCTTCCACATAGGTGGAAACAAAAAGTGAGGCAGAAGCAGAAAGAGCACCAGATGGTCCCACTCAGACCTCAGCACAAGAGAAGGATGGACTCAGAGGATTGAGAAGTGACCTTGTAATGTCACAGGCTGATGTTTGGTGCCAGCTCCCCTGAGGGTAGAGGGAAGAAACCCTTGTATCGCCTAAATATCCACACCAAAAGAAGGAATGAAGAAATGGTAGCTAGGGGTGGACAGTAGGACCTCTCCTGGGCTTATAGTTTCCGAGAAACACCTCCCCTCCACTCCCAGTCAGACTCACCCAGGACCACTTCATTAAAAATAACAATGTACAGCATTTCCCATTGTTCCCCTCTGGCCCAAACGCAGTGGCCACTCCACATTAAGCAATCCTTGGTTCAAGAAGTCAAGCAGTAATCAAAAAAGATACTATTAGAAATTTTTGAAATGGTGTATCTTTGGCTACGTGTATTTTTACCAAAAAAAAAAGGTTGAGAAGTTAGAGGGTTGACATGTTGTGGGGTTGTTAACCAATGTCATAAAACAATATGTGTACTACTGTTTCATGAGA